TATTGTGATACAATGAGAAAATGAATCTTCAATATCGTCTAGAAAATTTATCGTAATAAGAAACAAAATGAGACGAGTGCAATCTCTTTTTGTGATGTAAGAGTATTGAAGAATTTTCGTATCCATTGAATCGATTATTTATGTAATATGTTCGTTAAAGGTAGGCACAATTTTATATTAAATTTTCACCAAAGGAAAAATATTAAGATGGAAAATAATAGAGATACGACCTTTTTATTAATAATGTTTCGAGTTTGCCATTCACAAATTAAATCGAATCACAATTGAATCAGTGAAGTACTTCTATTTAATTTATCTTCGCCCGCATATAATTTCCTTTTCTTGTATTTAAAACCAATCTACTGACCCACATAACGGTATTTGAGTGAATCGAAGAATTGCAATTACTGCAATTCAAATATTTAATCCTGATAATTATATTTTCTTTTTGAAGCGCAATATTAATTTATTTTTTTTTTTCACGTTTCAACGAAAAAAAAAACATAAATTTTTAACTTGAAATTATACTTAAACGTTGCACGTAAAAACTTAAAAAAAAAAAAAAGGAAGAAAGAACAGTTACGACGAGCGTTTAATTATTATTAAGTACTGATTTTTATGCAAATACGAAGGAAGAAATATTATGAGGCTATTTGGTTATTATAAAAAGAGGTCATGACTCAAATAAATATCAAGAAAAACTCTAATTTCAATAGATATGTGAATTCATCCTATATATATCTTAGTACTTTTTTATTTTTTAAAATAATATATTGAAATATTTACTTTTCACTTTTGTCTTTTAAATAAAATTATAAAATCTCATTGGATGAAGTTTATTTTTCTGTTGGCACAAATAAAAATTATGAATGTTTCAAAATACTAGATAAACTAATTATAACTAATGAGGACAGCACATTTGTGCTACTCATTAATTAAAAACTACTCAAATATCTTATAAGAAATCTATATAGTCTTTCCTTTCAATCTAATAATTGTTGACACCGTTAATCTCGAAATTACATTTATTATGCAACTGATCTAAGAATTCAAAGTATTACATTCATTAATTTCGTTCAAAATGCGAAAAAAAGTGGAACTTAACAATGAATTACACCACGATCTCGAGATCTCTAGCTGCTTTTGGAATCTCCTTTTTGTTCCTGTTCATTCGTCACGCTCTAGTAGAGGTAATGATAAAATACTTAACGCAATGACAATATCCGATGAAAGCGAGAAATGTAAGTAAGAGGCGAAAAAAAGGAAAAAGGAAAAATGAAAAAAGAAAAAATGTTGGAACGAAATAAGAACGTGCGAATATTCAGAGCCTTGAAATCGTAATTAACGTCCTGTATATGCAGAATATTTTTCGTCAAGACTTGAGTTCGTTTTATTTATACGCTTTTTTCATGTGAAGAAATAAAACACGAGATATTTATATATCCGTCTCATTCGTGTACAAATAAATTCATTTTTTTATGAAAAATTTGTTACGTATCTTTATTTTTAAAATAAAGATCGTAAGAGATACATATTTTATTTTATATTTAATTTATGAATTAATTTTTCTTTTTCTTAATAAATGTAGAAGATAATGTTTTTATGACAGAAAGTATATAAAGAAACGAATATCTAAGGAATGATGGATAAACAAATATGTGGAAATTAGTATGTTAATTAGAGATGTAAGAACGAAATTGTATTACTTATGATGAAAAATTCATCTCACGAGATAGCAACTAGCATATTTTGACTCACATAGAAGAATATTCAATTCAAAAAACGATGAAAGCTATACAATCATATGGCATCAATGAAAACACAAAGTGTAAATTGACTTGCGACATTATGGAGATCTTTACAATGGTAAAATGTGCGAAAATTACTTGTTAATAGAATTGTATCGATATGGCCTTGAAGGAACCATGCTTTTTTTTTTTAAGGTACTCAATGTCAAATTAAACGAACCAGGATACTCAGTCCCTGGATGGAACAATGTGTTTTTTGTTCGCCGAGTCGTGGAAGATTTTGTATGCTCGTTACGATTGAGTGTATAATTATATTTTCAAAGAAGTTATTTTATATTATACCATCATAAAACTCTTAAACTATTAACATGGTGCTGTTTCAAGAAAATTATATACGTATACCATACGTGTATCGCTATTATTATCTATTTTTATTTTTTCGGTTGAAAAAAGAGCGATTTATGATTTATTTATAACTATTTTTTTCCTTATACAAATTATTTATGGATATTTATTTAATATTTAAAATAAAGAATTAAAATATACAATCTATAAATTTTCATTTTTTTTTTTTAATTTTGCTTTAAATTTTACAATTTCATAACTAAAATTCCATTCTCACCTCGAATTCCAGCTTTTTTCCGATCCGATCGTTTCTTCCAAAATGTAAGTAATCTCATGTTTACGGAGTTAATATCGATCCTTTCTTCACGATTCCTACAGAAGAACGCGAATAAAAAGGAAATAATCCATTCGCTGGCAACCCACAACACACTACACGCAAAACAGTCGAGAAATTCAGATGTCATCAAGTCGCGACAAGATAACAGTTCAGATATCATTAATTGTAACTGATGAGACATATGTATCTCAAGTTCATCTCAATGAAGAGAAATTCTCTAGTGAATAAGGCAATTTTTTTAACTTTTGTTATTGAAAAAATAAAATCTTCAGCTGTAATTAAAGCTAATCGTATTTGTAAGATTTTTCAAAGTGCAATAAAGATTGTAATACATTTCCTTTGTTTTTCCAAGATAACTGATATTCTATACTCTAATACTCTATATATACATACAACTTAGCACTTTATATTTAATTTAATAATATACTAATATTTTATCTTCAATTTTTAAATATGAAAATTCATTTATTGAATTTATACAAACAATATTTATTTCTATGAATGTACTATATAACTATCAAAAATTTATTAATTTCTTTATTTAATATAAATTTTTAATAATATATATATAGAATAAGTTTATATATATCAGAAAATTTTATCAAATTTTTCACTATAGAACACTTGAAATTTGTAAACAATCGATATTTAAGAATTGATAACACAACATAACCATAAGATAATTATGTTATAACAACAACAACAATAAACTTTCACTAAGTTATCAAACATAGAGGTTATAATTACAGCCAAAGAATTGAAATGACCACGATTCCACTAATTTATTTTTCTGACAAGACAAGAAAAATATATTAGATCATTTAAATTTTATCTTGTTAAAGAACAAACGAGTCGTAACACGATGGAACCGATACTAGCGTCACTATCAAAACACGTGTTGCGCGAGAGATACTCAAAGAATGAACCGACTGGCAGTAAATCGATGCGCTTTTGTGGTTTCAAAACCGACCACCAGCATCCTGTCTACAAGGAATCACGTGATTAATCTTTTGACACGCACACATATGTAAGTGTAAGGATGTGTATCGTGTATATGTGACGACCCATTGGACAAGGCGAGAATGGAATAAACCTCGCTGACTAAATGTTTTTTTTTTTCTGTTGTTCGATCATCGAAAGATGATACATATATTGGGAATCCTAGAAAAAAGTCGTGCCACGTAATAAGAAAGAGAGAGACTGAAAATTATAAAGATAATGATCGAAGGATTATAAATAGAGATAAAAAATCAAAGAACCCTGATTCGGAAGGAAATTTTTATTCAATGTAAATTTGAAAATGGAGGAAATTATATTTATGGAAATTTTTTTATCTTTGTTTCATTGTAGCAGTAAATTTTTCTATTCTATTTATAATGGAACTTTGTACAATATATTTATATATATTTTATAATATATTTTAATATCTTTTAGTATATTTTTGTAGAATATTAAAATATAAATAAACAATGAGAATTTGATAAAAAAAAGTATTATACTGTTTTTCTAAAGATTGTTCTAAAAATATATGATTATATATAACATGCGCTTTCCGTTTTAATATAAAACTTATAAATAAAATAAAACTTATAAAATCAATATAGATATGCAAAGTATAATGTTTAAAAAAAAGAAAGTATCTATTCTTAATATAATATAATAAATCTGATAAATTTTATTATTTTATTGAGAAGATATTATATTATCTATAGCGATAGTACGATGAAGTCACAACAATTGCATATACTTCCATGAAAAACTAATAAATATTATTGTTCAAACATTTGCAAGGTGTCATCCGACAGCTGTAATTGCATATTTGATCATTGGTGTTCTAATTATCCGTATCTCTATGCTCTAATTATCTATATTTCTTTAATAAAGAAAATATAAAATTATTAATAATATAAAAGTGATTAAAGATTATAATTTCAACCGAAAGTTATTATGTAAAGATATATTTTATATTGAAACAGGGAGGAAGGAATAAAAATAAGATTTCTCTCATTTTTCACCATCATCCATTTCATAAAATAGCCATTCTCAAATTTCTTAAATTTATCATTTCTAAATATAATTTTTAAACTCAAACAAAATTGAAAAATGACGATCACCACGTTTCATTTCGTTTTATCATATCAGATATTTCGAGCTTACATCAGCAAAGCAAATTTTGTAACGTTACCTAATTAATGCAATTTTTATTTCGATCGTTGATCGTTTCAATGTTGATACACATGATATCATCCCCGAGTTTTATATTACTATGAAATTTCAATGGTGCAAGAAGATAAATACTCGATGGGCATATCGTCGTTAAACGTGTCAGGAAACGCAAACTTATCGATGAGTAAAGCAATATTGTTGAAAATAAGATTACGCGGTGAACGAACTTTCATAAATTTAATCGCCATATTAAGAACACACGATAATCACCCTCGCTTGGTAAAACCGCGTTTCTAATGAGATGGCAGGGAGTAGGATTACACAACCATCCTAAGTAGTATGAGACATTTAAAATGGCCTTGATACTAATATGCAATTCGTTTAAAATATCCTATTTCGCCAATACGAACGTAGAACACATCACATATGACGAATGAATGACTTCCGCATAATAATTTGTTGACTATAAACTGGAAAAACAGATTGTATTAATGGATACACAGTTTTTTTTTTTTATATGAAAAAAATTTTATTTGAAAATTTTTCCATTGGAATATAATTATCGATAATAATGATAACGAGTGGGTAATAGCTTACTGAAATAGAGAATTTTATTTTCATTGTTATATCTGCGTATGCGTAATTCTATATTCTTACATAAAATGAAGTTGCAATTAATGCCACAAGTAATAGTTCAAAATAAATTTTGTTAAAAATATACAATCATCTTATTTAAAATGAATTTTGCATATCGTACACAACTACTTTCACAATGCTTTGTTTCGTATTGATCACGGAATATTTATAAAACACGAGATCACTTATCAGAAGGAAACGTTATCCACACGAGATTCTATTCTTTGCCAAATAAAAACGTATTCAAAACTTTTCTTTCCACAGAATAAATGACACGTTTCTTAAAATAATTCTCTTTTCTCTAAATCGAAAATCTTCTTCTCGTCTCAAAATCCAATCCCACGCGAGTCAAATGTTAAACATTTCTTACATACTTTTCTCTAATACAATCAATTTATTCGATTAACGAGAGAGAGAAGTGCGCAGCAAGAACGCATACCGAAGCCATTGAAATTAAACGTGTTCAACGCGATCGATGTAATCACATCTAACCAGATTCGCTTCGATTTTTCCTATCTTACATGGCCGCACAAGTATTTCGTTGTCCAGACGAAATTGTCCGTTAAAAATTTGCAGCGCCATCTGTCGTTCGCGCGAGCTCGACATCCAGACCCACAATATAGATAACTGGCCACGTACGCGCAGCTCGATATTGGCAAAATTTAGAGCAATATCTAGCCGCGAATTCGCGCCAGGATTACCACGTTATCTTTCATTATCGGTGCACGCGAACTACAACCGCAGATATACGACGGTATACGATTATCTGTCACCGTAGAATCTGCCATTTACCCAACCCAGGCGGTTAATATTTTCGCAATCTGAGTCATAAGATGAGATCGCGCGTGATGAGGTGGGAAAATACTCCCCGTTTGTAAACGCGCGTGTCAGCTTACCGCTCGACAACTCGGCTTACCAACCCTCCCTTTCCAGTTGATCGCCGTTCGACGTTTCGCGTTTTCACGCATAACACGCGGCTGGTAATTTCATGCCGCGCCGCCTGAAAAACAGCGGGGTGTATGTGACGCGTATAAACGTTGCGAGGCGCAACGCGATCGTTCTCCATTATTCCTGCCTACACCTGTTCGAGCCGCGCCACGCGTGCAAGCCGGCTCGCTTCGAGGAAAACGCGCCTCGATCGATGGAATTTGAATGTAACGAGAGACCAACGTTTACTTTTCACTTACGTTTCGATTACATTCGCTTCGTCCGGATGACTATTTCGCATTGTTTTCGCACGATGGAGGAAATCCCGCGAAACGTTTAATCTTACACTTCTTTTTTTTTTTTTTTTTTTTTTTTTTGAGAAACCGTGCTCACAATGGAATTCCATTTATCTGAACTTATTCGGAGGGGGAAGGGAGAAACAAGTCGGTGAAAGAGCATCTGCTTCAAAGCAGTATGCTCGTTCAAATTAAATAATATTAAAATGATAGATGATGAAATATATAATTTTTTTTAGATTTGATTTTGAAGCATCTTGTTGGTTTGATAATTTATATGGTTATTATGTGGTATGATTCACGATATCGATTAATATCATTGAGATATTAAGACTCGAGTACAATTTAGAAAAATTAGATTTCTGAAGATAGAAAGGAATATAAATATTTAAGAAAACTTCTATCCGACGATTTTCCCTGTTAAGAAGAATGAGAATCAAAAAAGACATCGAATTTTTATTTGATACCCTTGAGGCAACCTCTTTAAAGTTCACCACGTTGCTACCACCGTATAATCAATACTCTGTGCTCTGGTGTACAGTTTGCCGCTGAGATCTACATTCCCTGCCAAACCCTCACCCTCACCAGGAGAGAGAGGAAAAGAGGGTATGCGCTCCGATGCGCAAAATCCGCGGCTGATACTGAAGTAATGATTTTTTATCACTTTCGATAGCTTTTCATCATTTTTTTTTTTTTTTTGTGACTCGCAAATAATAATAATGGACGAGATAATATAGATAATTTCTGTTACATCGTATTAATTAATTCGAGAAAAAAAAAAAAAAATCAGATCGAAGATCAGAAAATTTTAATTTTGATCCGATTAAAATTTTTTTTTTTTTTTCTCGAATTAATTAAAACGATGTAACAGAAATTATCTAATTTATCTCGTCCATTATTATTATTTGCGAGTCACAAAAAAAAAAAAAAAAATTAGATCGAAGATCAGAAAATTTTAATTTTGATTCGATTAAAATTTTTTTTTTTTGCTTTAAGGATAAATTGAACGTTTAAAAAAATTTTGAAATAAAATAAATCGACAAGTTTTTATAATTTATATCGTCTTTGACTCTTCTATTCAGTTCGAGTAAACAGATGGGTAAGGTAAAAATTAACTGCTTTAAGTGGAACATGCTTATAGTGGTCAGACAGTTCGTAAAAATTATAATCACCACTATTAGGCTTGTATCGGTGAATCGCCAACACGAACAGAAATTCACAGTAAAAAGTAAACTACTTAATGGCAAGCTATAGCTTATACAAGTTATAACACTTAAAAAAAAATTTTTTTTAAAGGAAATTTAAGAAAATAAATGTTGTATAAATGTATTGAGAACATGCGCAAAAGAGGAAAAGTATTTTTAAAATTTTTCCGTGCAATCATTTAAAATAAAATATCTTCTAGAGACCGAATATTATTTATTGAATGTTAATTTCTTTTAAAAACAATAATATAACGTTAAAAAATGAAATTTGTTTTCCTACGCGAAGAATTTCATTTTAATGAACTGATTCCATCGAAAGGAATTTTAGACATAAGAAATCACTTTGCTTCCATGCAATTTCCTCACTATTTGAAAACATGTATCGATTATCCCCATGATTCTAAGTACTCGCATTCGGTGTATCTTGTTTCTTTTACGTTATCAATTTTGCGAAACAATGACTTCACACGTAAAATAATTTCTTAGTAACCATTCGAGACTCATAGTGTATGAAAAGAAACGAAATTTAAATCCAAACTTCAAAAATAAAACTGTACATTATGTATCTTAATTCGTGGTCATAAAATACGTGTAATAAAAAATAATATTAAATCTATTTTTAAACGAATCACGATTTATATATGATAATTTTCGATGATTTTGAAAAATTGTATACGTTTAATTTGATTCGATTACGAAAAATTTTTTAACA